CGCCCCCTCAGACTGAACACAGCGATCTGTGCATGGAACCGCCCCCCTCAGACTGAACACAGCGATCTGTGCATGGCCCCGCCCCCTCATACTGAACACAGTGATCCATGGCCCCGCCCCCTCAGACTCAACACAGAGATCTGTGCATGATCCCGCCCCCTCAGACTCAACACAGCGATCTGTGCATGACCCCACCCCCTCAGACCGAACACAGTAATCTGTGCATGGCCCCGCCCCCTCAGACTGAACACAGTGATCTGTGCATGGCCCTGCCCCCTCATACTAAACACAGCAATCTGTGCATGGACCTGCCCCCTCAGACCGAACACAGTGATCTGTGCATGGACCCGCCCACTCAGACTCAACACAGCGATCTGTGCATGGCCCCGCCCTCTCAGACTGAACACAGTGATCTGTGCATGGCCCCGCCCTCTCAGACTGAACACAGTGATCTGTGCATGGCCCCGCCCTCTCAGACTAATCACAGTGATCTGTGCATGATCCGCCCCTCAGACTCAACACGGCGTCTGGCCGCGACCCCACCCCTCAGACCGAACACAGTAATCTGCATGCATGGCCCCGCCCCCCTCAGACTGAACACAGTGTCTGTGCATAGCCCAGCCCCTCCTTACTAAACACTTACAGCAATCTGTGCATGGACCTGCCCCTCAGACCGAACACGGTGAATACGTAAAATGGACCGCCCACTCAGACTCAACACAGCGATCTGTGCATGGCCCCGCCCCTCAGACTGAACAGTGATCTGTGCATGGCCCCGCCCTCTCAGACTGAACACAGTGATCTGTGCATGGCCCCGCCCCCTCAGACTGAACACAGTGATCTGTGCATGGCCCTGCCCCCTCATACTAAACACAGCAATCTGTGCATGGCCCTGCCCCCTCAGACTCAACACAGCGATCTGTGCATGATCCCGCCCACTCAGCCTCAACACAGTGATCTGTGCATGGCCCCGCCCTCTCAGACTGAACACAGTGATCTGTGCATGGACCCGCCCCCTCAGACTGAACACAGTGATCTGTGCATGGACCCGCCCTCTCAGACTGAACACAGTGATCTGTGCATGGCCCCGCCCCCTCAGACTGAACACAGTGATCTGTGCATGGCCCCGCCCTCTCATACTAAAAACAGCAATCTGTGCATGGCCCCGCCCCCTCAGACTCAACACAGCGATCTGTGCATGATCCCATCCACTCAGACTCAACATAGTGATCTGTGCATGGCCCCGCCCCCTCAGACTCAACACAGCAATCTGTGCATGGCCCCGCCCCCTCAGACTCAACACAGCGATCTGTGCATGATCCCGCCCACTCAGACTCAACATAGTGATCTGTGCATGGCCCCGCCCCCTCAGACTGAACACAGTGATCTGTGCATGGCCCCGCCCCCTCAGACTCAACACAGCGATCTGTGCATGGCTCCTCCCCCTCAGACCGAACACAATGATCAGACTGAACACCCATGGGTGGGGGCTAGGAGGACATTATGTCCTACTGTTATTATTTTAGAGCACTCATCTGACACCAATTGGTGGAGGCTGGGGAATACTATGGTGGCACTGGTGGGAGCACAGAGGAGACATTATATGCCCCAGGGCCGGTGCAATGAGTTTTGGGTACATAGGCAAAGATGCATTTTTCCGCTTCCCCCCCCCCAAAAAAAATAACATCTTCACCTGTGTGCCTCTAAAACCTCAATTTTGTGTTTCTTATCTCCTCTTTTATACATCTTTACCCCTTTTGGTGTATCTTATCCTCTATTTTTTCCTCATTGTGTGTCTTACAACTCCCTTGTGTATCTCTTACAGGACACCCAAGGGGGCTGTTGTCTTATCCCCCATCTTTGTATCAATCTTACATCCTCCCACATTTTGTGTGTCTTATTCATCCCAGCCCCTTTATGTGACTCCTCCTAGCCCAGCCCCTTTGTGTATTTTGCACTTACCAGCTCCTTTGTGTGTGTCTCTTTCACCCCAGCCCATCTGTCTCCCCTCCAGCCCCTCTGTGTGTCTTTTTTTCCCATTCCCCTCCCCCCGGCCCTGCTGTGTGTTTCTATCACATCCATCTATCCCCTCCCTGTCCCTTAGTGTTCCTCTCCCCTCCCCTCTCCTTTCCCTGTCCCTTAGTGTTCCTCTCCCCTCCCCTCCCCTCTCCTTTCCCTGTCCCTTAGTGTTTCTCTCCCCTCGCCTCCCTGTCCCTTGGCGCACACCCCACCCCCTTAGTGGTCCCCTCCCCTTCCAGATGTGCCTCCTACCTATCGTACAGCGCGGCCGAGCTGAGCGGATCCCCATACAGGAGTTTCAGTTTTCTGTACCCAGCCGGACTGAGTGAGCACCTCCTGTCAGCCTGGCCGGGTACAGACACATACTCACTGATCTGACACACACTCATTCATTGACAGACACGCACACACACGCACACTGACAGACACTCATTGACAGACACACTGATAGTCACACACAGACTCAATGACAAACATATCTTCACTGATTTTACAGACACTCACATGCACACACATACACTCACATGCGCATACACTCACTCACAGACACACACATACACTCACTAATTATTAATATTTTTATAATTAAACATTTTCCACCCAGCCTCTCTACCTGGAAGCTGGCGTGGATCTGTCCCTGGGGGTCCAGTGGGGCTGCTGGGAGCTCTGATCTCTCTGCTCTGTTCCCTTGCACCTCGCAGGCTGTCTACTGATGCCCGGAGCCAGAATGATGTCATATTCCAGCTCACGCGGCATCAGCAAACAGCATGCGAGGGAGCAGAGCAGGGAGATCAGAGCTCCCTCGCCACCTCAGATTCTACCACAGGCGCACACCACACCGGGGTTCCAGAAAGTGGCCTGGTAGGAGGGAGCGCTTCCCTCCTGCCGGTCACAAGAATCTTGCGCCTCCAGAGCCGGTGTGCCCTAAAGCGGCAGACTATGCCGCCTTATGGACGTGCCAGTCTGCATGCCCCTCAGTGAATTATTTTTTAGATGCCCCACTGTGGGGATATGGGGGACCTGTATTGGAATTTAGACTGGGCAGCAATACCTGCCAGTCCCTAGTCCCTTTCTTATGATAGTAAGCAGTCACTGAGTGCTCGCTGTTTAGTAGATGTGCCCCTAGTTTGGAAGCGGGGGTGCTTGATAATTCAAATCAAATTTAACGGGCGTGGTATTCCTTGGTCACCCTGGGCCAAACTGTTTCTTCTACAGAACAGCACCACGTCATCCAGCTCCACAGTGCAATAGCACCCTGTATGTGTGCATCTTGTTGAACAGCACCCATTGCTGCACGCCCTTCATCAACGTAACAGTAAAGTAGAATGGTATTGCTTTCATTAATAATCTGTGACAGAATGTGGATGTTCAGTCACATCATCCAGCATGGGCAGAATCCACAGCCCATCAGTCAGCATGAGGCCATGACGTGGTATATGCCTCCTTATAGTTGTTAATAATTTGCTTATTATGGGGTGAATCAAAGCCTTGATTTCAAAAAAAAATTTAAAAGTCACCCTTCAAATCTCCTTTGCTATAATCCTTTAAATCAAAATTAATTTCAATCAAAATTCAAATAAAGCTAATGACAAAATGTAGGTTAAAACAACCCAGCTTTGACTATTACTGAGTTGAATAAATATATTTATATATATATATTTTCAAATGAGATATTTTTACCTAAAACTAGCAATTTTGCTTTAATTCCACTCCGATTCAGTAGTTAGTGAAGTGAATAAACCTTTAGAAATTGAAAACTGTGTTCATTTTTTTCTCCTGTAGAAGTAAAGAAATCCTTTGTAATCTTCTAATTCTGAAACTCAATAAATAAATAAACCCCTTCGTACCTGTTGCCTGTCAGGATTTCTGTTTTTCTCAGATTTTTTTTTCGGTTCTCTCTCTGTTTCTTTCAAACATTGAAAAGCTGGTGTGTATTTGCTTTTGAATTCTCTTCGCTGATAGTCCCCCTGCCAAGAACCTTTGATCCGCGAGTGTTTATATGAGTTTTGTCAAAATAAATTATCGGTATGTTTTGCTCTTCATTAAGAAGCTTTGTAAATATTCAACACTTTACAGTTAAAAGCCGGATTAATGAAAAAGCGTTGGATAGAAGACAAGTATGCAAGGATCCTGTCCTGCCTAGTCCTGAATCATCTTAATTGACCCGAAGGAAACATTTATCCAGTTACATATTTTGGGTTATGTAACATCATAAGTATTGTACCAACATGCAGTGCAGCAGAGAAGAATATTTTTAAAAACAATTCAAATAGAAAAAAGAAAATCTCAGAGTATTCTCTACTGCTGGCCTTATGTCATGCATCCC